AGTGGGAAATATATTGAAGAGGAAATGGAAGCATTCAAGAAGCAGAAAAAGGAAAAAGAGATCTATATAAAGAAACAATACTATAAAGCAATTTAAAAAACAAAGTACATTAGATGATTTAGTATAGAATGCAGCTAGGCTTATTATTTATGTTAAAATGTCTTTTTAAATAGCTTAATATTGCATGAGAGGATAGTTGTGCATTGCATACTGACAGAGCATCTTTAGCAGTTGCAAGCCCTTAGGTGGACAAATGACGGGCAGGTATGAGCAGTGCCTGCCAAGGGCTGTCATGGAGCAGCTGGCAGCACTGGAACCCTGGCTATGCCCAGCTCACAGGGATTACCATGAGCACCACAAGTAGCCGGCTCCGCTCCGTTATGTGCCCTCACATGTGTGTCACAGTGTGGTTTATGAGCCTCTGTTACAAACTTAATACCTTAATTACAAAAAGACTAAAACCTTAACTATGGCACTGTGTCACAGAAGGGAAGATCACAAACACCAGCATTCTGTACCCTTGGAGAAACAACCACTGAGATGCTGCTACATTTGCTGGGGAGGCAGCTAGTTATCCACTTATACTAGCATAAGCACTACAGTATTTCTATTACCGGTTCTCAGTCTGCCTGAGCTTGGACTTATGTTTCAGAATCAGTGTGAGAGCCATTGCATTTCCTTCATTTAAGTAGTGTTCAAAGCGTCCTTCTCAAGAGACCATCTTCCAAACCCCTGCTTACCCCACCAGGGAGCTATTAATTCCCTCTTTCTTTTAAACCAAAGTAGATTTAGTAGTAGTTAACATCTATTTTAGCAGGGAGGAAAGACAGCCTGTGACCTAGTAGGTCTTTTACATCTGCACTGTAATGATAAATGTGCCTCTGGTGTTCATCCTTGCTTCCTCTGGCTGCTGTTTGCAGGCTGAAAACTGAACAGATGCAGCAGTGGCCATGCACACATGCTGTGACACAGGAAATACCATCACACGGTCATTCTGCACTAACTGGTGCCTGCTGATTTCTGGAGCAGCCTGGATGTCCCTCCAGCAAGACATGTCCATGTCTGGGACCTTTTGGTGACTTCCACTTCACACTCCTAAGGCTGACAAGCACTCAGCTGGGTGCTCCCAAAAGAAAAATGTCTCACGTGGATCAGGACAAAACTTATTTATCAGTGTCAGTATGTTACATAGAAGGTTCCCATCAATGCTCAGAGTTTTGGTAGCAATATTGTGCAGCAGATAGGGTAATTTTCAGTTGTTGAATGGTTGGGTCCCCACCTACACTGGTGACATAGAGCAGGACTCTTTCCTAGCACAGTTTTGATCTGTTTTAGCACATCCTAATGAAAACATTTATGTGCTGCATGGGTAATGATGCTCCCTAGACCAGGCACAAGTGATCACAGAGGACGGGAGATGGTTTGCTGGTGGCAGGCTGGGGCTCATGATAGTGGTACACAGGACACACCTCACATTCACTGTGGACTGCTTGGAGCCCTCCTGTTTCTTTCGTTTGGGTTATATATTATGAAAAATTTCATCTCAGAAGAAGTGGTCAGGCCTTGGCACAGGCTGCCCAGGGAGGTGGTGGGGTCACCATCCCTGGAGGTGTTAAAAAACTGTGGAGATGTGGCACTGAGGGATGTGGTTAGTGGGCAGTATTGGTAGGAGGTGGGCAGTTGGATTAGATGATCTTAGAGATCTTTTCCTACCTTAATGATTCTATGATTCTATTCAGCGATTCTTTCTAGCATTTCGCTATTTTGTTCTGCATGTCCTTTTCTTACTGATTTTCAAGCCATTGCTTTCTGTGTAATTCATTCCATTTGTACCAGTGTCAGATCTTTCAGTTTTGCCTTGTGCTCTGCAAAGACCTGCTGTATCACTGTTTTTATTTTAATGTCTCATGGACTGGCTGTACAGCACACAGGCGGACTGCTGTCTGGGTTTTAAATGTATCCAGCCAATGGTTTTAATGGTTGATTTTATCACAAGAATGATAGTAGTGAATATAATATGTTAAAATATGAAGCCATTTACCTGTGAAGTACAACTGTAAGGGCATTCTCTATTTTCTTTCTTTTTCCAAACCAAATGCAATCCTCATGAGAAAGCAGCAGCCCATCTATTGCATGCTCAGAGGGAGAGAGAAAACTGTGATATCCTTCTCTGAGATTGGGAATTTACTCTCCAAAAATAAATTAAGCCATTAATAGTTTGGGGAACACTTCATAGGTGAAAGGATTTCTGTCATTGAGAAGCAGGTGTATTTGCATTATTCCTAAATGACTGATAAACTGCATACATGTTAGTGTAATACAGTCTTTCTAGAGAGATTTCTTTGCTGTGGGTTAATTTGGTCAGTACGTGTTCTTGTGGTGTGGTGGTATAGAAGACACAGAATAGGTACAGTGAAGTCATTTGCAAAAGGAAGAAATTTTCTTTCTGTTCTTTGTGGTCTGCACCTAAAAATCATCTGTGGGCCCCTACCTGAGATAACCACACCTGTAAAGGGTTTCTGCATAATTCCTCATGCCAAAGTTACCATCTTTTCCTACAAATAAATCATTTTACATACCTCATTACTGTTCCAGCAGTGAGCTGGCCACAGGCTGCTAGAGGGGCTGATCACTTCCAGCACTCACCATGTTAAATAGCTATTTTTAATGAGATTGGGAGAACCAGGAGCTCAGGGCTAGATGGCACCTGCAGGTCATGGAGCACACCTGCCTCCTCTGGGGTACTGCTTACAGGTGCCGCCCTCATTGAGACATCCACTGTGTCACAGGTGTTCAGCTATTTGGGGAGGGGCTGGCAAAGGCCCCCAGGTTTGGGGTGGGCTGCCCCCCAGCTCTCTCTTATGATTTATTTTTCAAAAATCAGCCTGACCAACTGAAAAAAAGGTTTTGATCGCTGCACCACATTCTCTGCCCTTGCGGTTGGAAACGACAGATTGAGGGCTCCTATCTGAGCCTGCTGCTGCTTGCCCAGCTGCAGCACACCGCACCCAGCGAGCCCCTGTCTGAAGCCAAGCAGGGTGAATTCCTTGCAGCAAGAGTTTGCGGTGTGATGGCAAACACGGACACCTAGTGGTACTTCAGTGCAGGGCACGGTACTGCTCTCAGTTTGTCTCTTGGATTTTTCTTGTGTCTTAAATACACCATACCAAATCGGTTCCCATATTGGGTCAGCAAAAAAAACCTGTAATTCTCAAATTATCCCAGAGCAAAGGAACCTTAACAAATATTATAGCAATATCTTATTCTTCCAATAGCTGTGTGTTACAAGAAAAGCATGTCAGAGTGTGCCAAATTGATCTCTTGTATGGTCCATCAGCTCACTGAGCTCTTTCTGCAAGGATTAGTGGTAGCACGCTGTCTGAATGGCCTCCAACAGCTGCCATGGTTTGTTTGGTTTGGTTGATTTTTTTTCTATCTATTTACAAATAATCTTTCAGAGAATTATTTCCTTCTTCTTCCCCCAATCTAGCATTTCGTCTACGGCAGAGACACAGGACAGGTGAGAACCAGTCCTTGTCCACTGACCCCTTTCTGTAATTGTATATATTGGAATTGTGAACGGGATTTCTTTCATGCCTGCCTCATGAGACACACAAACCACAATGCCACTGAGTGGGGAGAGTGCTGTTCCCATGGGAGTGTGCATTTGAGATTGCCTGGCCTGCAGTAAGGGATTTTGAGGTTGTACAGCTTGAGAGTGATGTCTGTAGAAATGGGTTTGTATGCCTAAAGGGCTCACCCATTCCAGCTGATGAGCAGATCATATTTCTCATTGATTTCACAGATATTAGGCATTGTACAACATTTCTCTCAGCTCAGTTGGATTTGCAAGTGGTTTATTTAAAAACATTATATAATGCGCCTGTCTTTAGCTTTGTATCCCAAGAAAGTGAGGTTCGTGATATTACAGTGTTTTGAATCAGCTTGGTTGCTGCTCAGTACCTTTTGAATCAGTGAGCTAATTCAATCAAATTTTATACTGGAATAAGGAGCTCAAAGGATCCTGCATGTTCCAGGAAGCAGGCAGCACGTAGAGACGGACCCAGACGAGGGCCCCTAATGATGGGCAGGCAGAAAGCAATCCAGACTTGTGCTCACACCTGTTTAGACACCTGCAAATCCAACCCTGAGATCCAAATCTGTAAGAAAACTAGCTTTGTTAGCTATGCTGCCTGTGCAGTCACTTTTTCTGCTTTGTTCTGCTGTATACACAAATGCTTCTATCCAGTCTTGGGTTATATAGAGATCAAGGTTAAACAGAGACCAGTATTGTTCCTTGCATATCGTGGGTGAGACTGAAGGAAAGCAGCAGGTTGCCAGCACTCAGTACGGATGTAAAACGATACATTTATTCTTAGATACAAATCCTGGAAGTCAGCATATAATCAGTCACTCTACGTTTATATATTTACACCTCTGTTTTCCATCAGACAGCGTGGGAGGAGCTATTCTGATCTGCCCCATCAGGATTCCCTAATCCTGACCTTAGAACAAGTTTGGGAAGAGGGCAATGTTTTCTGTCTTGTAAAAAGTGGTAGCTGTATCCTCACTGTGTGGTGGCATGTGGGAATGTGTTTGGCTTGTGCTGTAAGAGGGAGCTGGATTTGTTCTGCCCTGAGGCTTAGTGCCAAAGCTGTTGGCTGGGCTAGTGCCAGGCTAGAAAGGCACCCCAGAAACTAAAGACAGAAAAAAAGCTAGGTTTGTGAAGGGCACCTCCAGCTACAAAATTGTGGCATTCAAGAGGCCGTGGGGTGGGTAGCTTTGATTTCTTACTCAAGCCCAACAAATGAGTAAGAAGTAAAGGAAACAAGGGTCACAACTTGTTGAACTTTGGCAAAAGAAATGATTAACTTGGCTTCTAAGGAGCACAAAGCCTGCCTTTGCCAGTGTAAATATGATGCAAAGATGATTGCTTTCATTCTGTCCTCTCTAACTCTTATTCCTACTCTTTTTTTTTTTTTTCCCTTGAACCTGGGCAGTTGTCTGGAGGGTGTGAACTAACCGTGGTGCTCCAGGACTTCACGGCGGGCCACAGCAGTGAGCTGAGCATTCAGGTTGGGCAGACGGTGGAGCTGCTGGAGAGGCCGAGTGAAAGGCCAGGCTGGTGCTTGGTGCGGACCACGGAGCGGAGCCCACCGCAGGAGGGCCTGGTCCCCAGCAGCGCTCTCTGCATTTCCCATTCCCGCAGCAGTGTGGAGATGGATTGCTTCTTCCCTTCAGGAAAAGGTAGGCAACAGCCTGACAGGTGTTTCGGATTGTTTTGGATTTCCCCTTTTGTATCATGTAAGCTGCTTGGGCTGCTTTGGCAGTCGATGTGGGCAAAGGACTGTGTAGTCATGAGTGAGTTTTGTTACTGGGTCTCTGTGAGTCAGCACAGCACCAGCCCCAGCTCCATCCCATGAATCAATGTTGTATGTCTGTATCTTTTGCTGTGTGGCAGTTGTTACCGTGTTGAGATGCAGGATAAAAATAAGAAACAAGGATTGCTTTCAGTTCCTACAAGCTGAGATGGAGGGGGAAAAAAGCCAACAAGGGGGGAAAAGAACACTGTGTATACACACAGCACATGCCCTAAGTTGTGGACGTGTTATTTTATGAATTCCGCAGTGCACATTAATGCATGGTCTTTTACTATATGTCCAGTACACACCTATGATTGCAAACAAACCGCCAGTGAGTACTGGTACACCAGGTTGACAGGTGAACTGGAGATGTGAGTGTACTGGTACATTACAAGAGGCAAAGAAGGTGTTACAATCAGAGTGTGACAAAACATGCGTCACCCTGAGAGGCTGAGCCTTGACGTCAGTTTGCATGGAAATGATCTGCACTTTCCTACAAACACCTGCACTGGGTGGTGAAAAATAGTTTGTCTCTGATGGTGTCTGTGGCTTATCCAGTTGGTGTCATGTTCTGAGTGTTGTGTGTCCCATGCATCACATCCATGCAGCCAGATGCAGGAGGTGCCCCGTATTGCTGGAGTGGGATCTGCTCCATTCAGGGTGGGCAAAGCATGTCCCCTTAAGGCTGTGTTCCTGTCACAATTAGGGCAAGGGGAATGGCTCCTAACATCCTGCTCCCTGGCTCAAACGTGCAGCCTCAACTGGCTTTATGAAGTTGTTTATTTTTTTCCCTCTGTGTTAGGGGAAGTAGAACTTGATCCTTCTTCGTTTGGACAAGTTAAGCTTGGTGGTTTTGCTTGTTTTGAGAAAAAGCACTGAAATCGTGCTCTCAGTTCCCTGCAGGCAGAGAGCAGGGAACAAACAGGGCACTGCAAAGGGCCCAGAGTCATTTTGCCTTAAAAAGCACAGGAGGGAAATGCTGACTGTCCCCACTGGCTGAGGTGCAAACTCCAGCATGTCCATGTCCATGTCACTCAGACCTGCTACACCTGGAGCCTGTCCTGGCCACTGGCTTCTCCAAAGGCCATGCAGAGCTTTGAGAACCGCAGCCACACCTCCCTGCGGATTACAGCTGTGAGTAAACAGGTAAAGCTGAAATTCAGCCTGGCAGAGCAGGCAGAGCCCAGCGTGGCATGACTCATAGGAAGCACAGAAACATGTCTGCTGGGTGCGGGCCTTGGCACTAGGACGCTGAAGGACACTCTGAAGGGCCACATGGCAGGGTGCACAGGAAAGCTGGCAATCCCAAGGAAGGATGGAGGCAGGGCGGTGTGGGCATCGGGCTGCCTGAGCACAGCCCAGCCTGGCCACAGGGCACGTCATGCCACTAGCTTGCTGAGCTGGCCTGCATGCTCTTCCTGGCAAGTGCAATCAGTCTGGGGCTGGTCCAGCCACGCATTTCATGGCCTTTACTTCCTCCCATTTCCTTCCCCTGAAGCTTCCATTTTCTTCCTGCACATACCAAGCCTGGATCGGGGAACTTCAGCACTAATGGGATCTCCAGAAGTGCTGCTAGAAATTATAAAAATAACTGTCCAGCTCACAGTTTTGGCTGGAGTACAGCAAATAGGTTCTTCTGGGTCTAATCAGCTGTCCCTCCATTAGGAGAACAGGAAATTGTTTAAACTGAATAAACAGATGCTTGAAATAAAGAAAGGGGAGTAAGTGTAAAGGGGGAAATGCACTAGCCTCTGGAGCCTGCCAGTCTCATGAGGTGCTGCAAGGATTAGCATCATACATGGCTGTTAAGACTTGTGTCCATCTCTGTTTCCAGTATCTTAGCGTGGTTTAGATTATGAACCCCCCTTGCTCTAAACTTCCAAAATGTGTGGCCTTTCTCTACAACGCAGGGCAAAGGCTGACACATCTTATGTGAACACCAAATAGTCTTCCCACATCTGTTTCAAATACATAAAGATATGCTGTGGAATACGTTGGATGTTGCTTGCAGTTACCAAGGCATACAATTCTTTGCTTTTAAAACACTGCAGCTACAAGAATAGAAAATGTCTGTACTTAAAACGTAAATGGTAAAATTTGCCAGCTTTGATGTAAGCATACGGAGTTTTGACAAATATTTTAAAATAGCTGCATCTTCTTGGTGCAAAATGATAAACTGCTGTTTTGTCCTAAATAAATTACTGTGAACTATAAACATAAAACAGACTTGTGAACATAGACTCAGTGAAGGTAACCTACCTTCCCTAAAATGAAAGAGAAAAGAAGCACCTGAACCATCAACACCTGAACAGAATGATATCCATGAAAGCCACTGGAAATACAAAAACAAAGTTCACTACTGAACATGTGCTCTGGTTCTCTTCCTATTTATTTATTTTTTACACTATTTCTTTAAAAATAGTTACATAAAATATTACAAAAGAAAAAAGTTGATGCAAATGTAAGAGAACAAACCCCAAACAGAACATTTCCTATGTTTTATAATGAAGTATCTTTGCAGATTTCTCATGCAGTTGTTCAGTGAAAGTGCAGAGATGTCAAGTATCAGTCTCCCAGCCTTCCGTCCTACTTCTGGCTCTGCTCCTGTAGAGGATACACACTGAGTTTTTTCATGACTTGACTACAGCTCAGAGCCCCATAGAGCCCTGCCTGTTCTTGCTTTCCAGTGATCTGACAGTGTTTGCAATTACCCTCTGTAAAAGGGCAAACAGGTTTCTGGGATTCACCTTACATAAATATTTTATGGATGACTGAGTAAAAAGAACTGTTCTGCAGTCTCTGTTACTGTATTTGAAAATTTTTATATATTTTTTCATTACTGGCATTCCCTTGGAAGGAAAAAGAAAGACCTGTGGCACTAGGAATGAAGCTCTGTTTGAACTGTCTCACGGGGCTAATTATAGAAAAACTGTGACTTTTATTCCTGTCTCTTTTACTCTATAATTGAGCTCTAAGGTATTAAACTATAAATTTCAAATTAAGAGAGAAATCTGCACGGATGGAAAGCAACCTAATGACCTAGTCAATATTCATTAAGCACACTGGCATGTTCCTGGTATCAGCCTACTAGCTTCAACTGAGTGATTCCATATTTGTACTTGGCCTATGAAACCTTTAGATGAAACCTTGATCTTACAGCTCGTCCACTCACTCAGCATTTTTGCTGTAAAATCAAAGTCCCGGTGTAATTCAAAGGCTGGTTCTTACAGAAATTTTAAGCAATTTCCATCACCGAAGAAAAAAGGTGTTAAAACAGTAGGGCTTTATGGAACTGGGTTTAGGCTGATGATATTCGAAGGGACCCCACTCAGGACCCCAAACTTGATCCTGCCTGTGGGATGCTTGTGTCTGGTCCATCTCCCTGGAGGAGATGAGGAACATATTGTTTTAAGATGCTACACAAACATCTTGCTGCACAGGCAGATGACCACTTAACAGTGGGGCTTTGGTGGCAGTGGTGAGTCCTTGCAACAGCAAATTGAGCAATGGTTGGATGTCTTCCAACTGTACAGGGAACATAGGCCTCACAATGTGACTGTTAGTAGGGTGAGCAACTTCCCAGCTGGATCCTGTTGTCCTGAGTGCATCAGCTGTGATACCATTAGACTTTGGGCAGGAGGGCCAGCGGCTTGGGTGCTGCTCAGGGGACAGGCTCAACATTTAGAGAATGCACCTGATTCCATGGCCAGAGAGAGCCTGCAGTTGGTGGGGGTGATTGCAGGCTGGGCTGTGAAAGAAAGAAGCTGAGGAAAAATGAATAGAGTCCTCTGAGAAGAATAGCATAAATGAAAATGAAGTTAACCTGAAACCTGCATTTTTGTGACCATTCCATGTGGGAAAGAGCAGATGAATAAATAGATTAGCATGCAGAGCCAATGAGGGTAATGTGGCTCTTGTTGAGGTTGTAAGTCTCTTTTCTCTAGACCCTGACCTCAGAAGAATAATCACATAGGAAAAAAACATAATTGTTTCTTCTCACATCTTAGTTTTTAGGAACAACTTGAATTTTAGTAGGGAAAAAGAGCCTGGGCTGAGTTTTTTATGTCCCTGTTCCTGTGGAGTATTAAATTGTGATCTGCATTGGGTCATGCACTTTTTCTTTTGTGTTTTAAACAATCTTTGTTGCAAAGCATATTATATAGTAATGATTCCTGATTTCTTGGGAGAGCTGTGTGAGGACACAGAAGTCTTATGCACTGCATTAAACCTTCAGTTGTTTTTGTGGTGGCTGAGAAATTGTTTTTGCTCTTGAAAGCCTTAATTAAGAGCAATTGATTAAACTGTTTGTAAGGCTTCAAACTAAAGGAAACATTTTATTAAGTAGTAGTTGATTTAACTGGCATGTAAACGGGTTTTCATTAAACAAGCAATCTTCAGGTTCCTAGTGTCAAGATAAATATGCAGTATTTAAATTAAAAAAAAAACAGATTCTCATCTCTGTTCCTACTACTGTTCCAACAGTACTCCAACAGTCACAATTTCATTGTATAGTCGTTCAGGAGAGGTCACATGAACCTCTCCTGCTGGCTTTTGATGCCTCATGGTATCCTTGCTACAAGTTCAGGACATGGTTTATGTAGAACAATCCCATCAGGAGAGCTCTTACTGCATTTACACTCCTTTTCAATTATGATAGAGCAGCTGGAAATCAGTCAGCTAACCAGCAATGTGTAACACCCTCTGGGCCAGCACCACATGCTGCCAGGACCCGGCTTTGGAATACTGCTCTACCACAATATACCTGGAAAAAATAACAATTCTAAGACAGAGATGAGTGTGACTCCATGCAGTTGTGAAAAGAATGGAAATAGAAGGATGAGAGAACTCCAGACTGCTTTGCTATTTCAATCAGGTTGCCTTTAT